ATCTTCTATTTCTTTCATTTTCATTGTGGAAATTACTCACATCTTGGGGGGTGGGAATCTCAGCCTATACAAAAATGTACCACATAATTCAAAATTCAAACTAAAAACATTAAAAAAATAGGAATTACTCACATCCTTAGTTAAATTTATTCCAAGGTATTCAATTTTTTTTCCAACTATTATGAGTAGGACTATTTTTTTTCTTAGCCATAGAACTGTTGGTGTATACAAAGGCTATTGTTTTTTGTGTGTTAGTTTTATATCCTGCAACTTTACCAAATTCTTAGGAGAATCATTTCTTAGTCCTTTGGTTTTCCTGTGTACAGAATCCTGTCTTCTGCAAACAGGGTTATCTTAACTTCCTTCCTTCTAATCTGCATCCCTTTGAATTCTTTTTCTGGCTTAATGGCTCTGGCTCTAATTTGCATAATTATATTAAATAGCAGTGGTAAGAGTAGACCTCCTTGTCTGTGTCCCAATTTTAGTGGAAATGCCCCTAACTTTTGCCCATGCAAAATGCTGGCAATGGGTTTACATATATTGCCTTGATTATATTGAGGAATGTCACACTTTTAACAGTTTTGTTTTAAAGTCATTTTGGGTGATGTTAGAATGGCTACATCTGCTTGTTTTCCTTTATGTTGAATGGGATATCTTTTTTTCCATCCTTTTACTTTCAGTCTGTGTGTGCCTTTGTTGCTGATGTGTGTTCCTCGTATGCAACAAAGAGAACTTGTATTTTAGTCCATTCAGTCCACCCTGTATCTTTTGGTTGAATGGTTTAGACCATTTGCGTATGGGGTTATTATTAGAAGATACTATCCCTCTCTATTTCTTTATATAGCCCATCCTTAACCATCATTTATAGGGCTGTGAGGGTGCTGGCAAAAGGAATGTTATCGTTGGGTTTAAAATAATTCATCAGGGCAGGCATTTGGCTGAAGAGCTTAAACTCCAGTGCACATGGTGCATCTTCCGTTGTAGAGCCTGAGTTAGGTTTAGGGTTAGGATGATTCCTGATTCTAGTTCCCTGCTAATATACAACCTGGGCGGCAATGGTGATAGCCTGATTGATTGGGCTCCCATAACTCATGTTGGAGACCTGGATTGCATTTTTGGCTCACAACAAGCATTTAGAGAGTGAGCCAGTGGGGTGGGACTTTCTCTCTTTTCCCCCGCCTCCAGCAACATATCTCTCAACTTTAAAAACTCTAGTGTTCTTAGCTCCATACCTTGCCCTTCCTTTGCCACATCTGAAGTCTCCTTACTTGGTAACTCTGCTTCTCACTTACCATTTTCTTCCACTCAGTTCATTTTTAATGGAATTTATTTTTTAAAAGCAGTTTTATGTTCACAGGAGAACTGAGAGGAAGTAGCGAAGATATTCCATATGCTCCTTCCCTAACACATGCACAGCTCTGTAGCTATCAACACCCCCCCACACAAGAGTGGTACATTTGTCACAAAAAGTGAAGCTACATTTATGCATCATTATAACCATCATGCAACTCAATTGGGATATAATCTTGATGTTACACATTGTGAATGCATTTTAATCTCTGATTTCTACTGGTACCTTCATACATAACTACTCCTCAATCTGCCTGTTTCTCCTGGAAATTGTTAAAATTTCTCACATATTCCACTCACTAATATCTTCACCTACTTTCTTTTAGCCTTAAGGACTTAGACCTTATTTATTTATAGCTAACATTCAAATGGAACTTCTGGAGGAAGAGGAGATATAATCAGATGGCAGTCTGCTGTTGTAACCAGGAATCACAATTATTTCTGTAAATGTTTCTAGTATTAGTTGATACATGTATTCCTGAGACTTTCAGGAGAGAATCAGACATTCATGGTAGACATTTAATTTGTATTTGAGAAAGAGTTTTGATAAACCTACTCACAACTTCAGAATTTGTTAAAGCAGTGGGGAAAAAAGGAGATCCCAGTTGGAACCAGTATTTGGTATAGATTATTGGACTGGGGTTTGGCTCAGTCTCCTACCAGAATGTCTTGGCTGCAGTTCTGGCTCAACATCCAAGTCCAGCTTGCTGCTAGTATACATCCTAGCAGGGTAGTTAGGACTCAAGTCTTTTGAGTCCTTGCCATTCAAAAGGCAGGCATGAATTGAATTGAATTTCCAATCCCTGGCTTCATCTTGGTCCAGCACTGGCTGTTACAGGCATTTGGAGGAGAGACTCAACAGATGGGAGCTTGTTCTCACTCTTTTTCTCTGTTTCCTCTTTCTCTCTCTCTGTTTTCCTCCCTCCATCCTTCTTTCTTTCTTGTCTTCCAAATAAATAAATAAAATGCAAAGAAAATATCCTTCTAGTCAAAGCCCCATTTACATCTAACATTGCAGTAGGAACTTGGCCTGGTTGGTAGAAAAGGGGAAATCTACCCTGAACATTGAATATTTAGAAAAATGTCTGTTCTAAATCTACCCAGTTTCAGTTATAATCTCCTGTGATAATGCTAATCAAGGCAGCAGTTCTGGAGCATGGAGCCAGTTGGACTGGTTACAACCAATAGTTTCGCAACAACTGCCAAGGAACTGTCAGAGGGCTTGAGGGCTCACAGACGCTGTGTGCAGAATTGCAGCAGATCTGCCTTCATAATCTCTCGTTTGTTGTTTAAGCATTGATAAATCTTTTTCTTGTCTTTCTGTTTTGGAAGTGAATAATGTATTTCCTTCTATATCAAAGAATTCTACCATTTTTTGGTAATCTGACATAGGCATTATATAGAATCCCTGATGGTGTAATGCTGTGAAAACAGGGGTGATTACGCATATAGTAGAAGAGTGGATACGACTTTATCTTTGATGTTTTGGATGAGACTCTGGATGAGACTGGGGAGGGGCAGACAGCTGGGGAGAAAACATGATTTGATTTTTTTGAGCAAAATATTTCCATATGGATCTGGCTGATACTGATACTACAAAACTCGCCACATGGACTTGTTCCTACTCTCCAGAAGTGTGAATATCAAGTGGTTATTCTACTGATGGCCCAGCACAGAAAACAATGCATGACTGTGCATTTGGTGAATGGTAGCAAAACAATGATTTATTGCTTGTTAAATGGAACCCAAACCAAGAAAGAGCTGCTGCTTATTTCATATCATTTTAAAATTTTAGTGTTAGAGAGAGCAAGCACTTTTGGTTAACTTCATTGAGAAAGAAATTAAAAATGTGTCAACCCCATGGCACTTCTAAAAAAAAGATTATTTCTTTTTTTTAAAAAAAAAGCTGTGTGTTTGACAGAGCAATTGTGCAGAGGAGGGATGAGAATGATCCACTGGGCTCACTTCCTAAATGGTTGCAATAGCCAGGGCTGGACCAAGCTGGACCAGTACCTGTGAATTCCATTCAGGTTTTCACATCGATGGCAGGGACTCAAATACTTGGACTATCTTCCACTGCTTTGCAATACACATTAACAGGAGGTTGGATTGGAAGCAGATAGCTGGCACACAAACTGAGATGCCAGCATGGGAAATAACAGCTTATTTTGCAGCCCCACAATGCCAGCTCCTAAAAAGTATTTTGATTGACATCTGTTACTTCTCAGCTGCCCTTCTAGACTTGCAAGTGTTTAGAGGGTAGCAAAAAAATTAAATAAATAGGATAAACTGATATATCACATTGCCATACATCCAGAATTAATACAGGCTTGTTAAGGAGCATTCTGCAGTGGAATGCAACTTTGCAGGAGACCATGACCTGGGCTTCTACTTATTTCTGTTATGCACTATGTGTAAACCTTGCATGACAAGCACTCACAATATCTTAAATAAAATAATATAAGGTAGACATAGGCATGAAGGGAATAAGTATGGGGCATCTGAATCAGAAAAGCAGCCAGTGAAATTTTATGAGCGGTGTGAGTTCAGAAACACCAGGATGATGCAAAATTAAGGATTTCTGGCAGAAATCAGGGTACAGAAGGTCTAGGAGGATAGAACAGACTACAATAAAAAGGTTGGTAAGTTAGTAACTATTCCAGGTGAGAAAGACACGATACCTGTACAGCATTCCAAGTAAAAATGGTGAGAGCCTGAGGCTGCAGACAACAGCTTGTTTGAGTGTCCCAGGAATTTTCTGGATTTCGTCCTGTAAAGGCCCACATCCCAGTTTGAGTCACCTTTCCAGGTTTTAGAAAAATTGCATGTCCCAGAGATTGAGGGAATGTTTCATGCCCAGGCAAAGATGTTTGCTTGACCACTATACCTAAGTCTCTGAAGGTAGAGATGAAACAGGAACACTCAAGCAAGAGTGACTAAGAAAATGCAAGTGGGAAGATTCATTAGTAATTGGAAGTTGGAAGCACAGTGAGAGAAAAGGAGAAGTTGAAGATTGAGATAAGGCCTAGAGCTCAGTGGATGAAGAAACTAGAGAGCTCACATCACTGCATGAACATTCTATCAGATCATGAACCCATGCCTGTACTTTACAGCAACCACCAACTATGCAATTCTGCATACACCGTCATTGTAGCAGCATCTTCATTTTCTGACTTTGTGGAGTTGCCACTTACAGCTGAAAAATACTATCACAAAACCAACTTTTGCTGGTGTATTTGGGGATACAGCCAGATGGAACAAGGCAGCAACATCTAGGTCATGCGTAGAGGGTGGAAACAGCTTGTTCACAGTGCAGGTATTGCTGATGGTATTTTTTAACTTGTTGTGGGTAGAACAAGATTGAATTTTACAGCGAATCTCACAGAAGAGATCAATTTGTTCTGACAGTAATGTTTCATGATCCTTGGAAGATTGCTGGATTTGGTTCACTAACCATGTCAAAAATGAATACATCTCAGGCTACTGTTCTTATGAAATAAATCTTAAATGGTGCCATTTCAGAAAAGCCAAGGGAGAAATAAAGTAGGTAGGCAGCTGATTTTTAAATTTTCAGTTAGCTATTTGGTATGTATGTTGTTTGCCTAATTCCTGGAGAGTGGATAACATTCCTTGGTTCTTTCCCAAACCAGCTTAATTGTGCAAGCTAAAGATGCAGGGACACCCAGCCTTTCTGCTACTACCGTGGTCAACATACAGGTGATTGATCTGAATGACAACGCCCCATCTTTTCTTCCCCCCAAGGCAGTGGAAATTGCAGAAAGTAAGTGTGGCATTTTGGATTGATGCATCTTATTAAGTTGCTTAAGATTATTTGCTCCTTGTTTTGTTTTCAGTTTTTTGGCTACCAGATATTATATTAAATGAGAACTCACCCTCAATGCTCATGCATGCTAGACAGTTTTTTCACCTTTATTTCACAGAGGAGAAAACATCTGACCGTAAGTTCAATGTCAAATGTCAAGGGATTGTCATGATAAAGCTGAGATGTGCATTCAGTTATGTGTGGCCTAAGCTTCTACGCTGTGACCAGTATTTTCTGCAGCACCTGTGTGCACGTGTCTCTTAAAAATTAAGTCGGCTGCATTTAGAAATACATCATATTTACTGTGATAAATGCTGTGAACCTCATCTGAGAAGACTCAGTGCTCTCAGACCCATAATTTTGTTGAATCTTTGCAGGATATGAATGACAGAAACTGAATTGTGTATTGGTTGTAAATGACCATTTTCCACAACCTCAACTTCAATATATGAGCCACACTAATGATAAAAGTTCAATATATAAAACTTAAGCAGTACACACATTCATCTGCATTGTTTTGGTCTCTGGATTACAGGAAGATTCCACAGACCCTGGTCAGTGGTTGCCCTGGTGAAACTCAACTCTTTGTGGCTGAATTGCAAACAGTCCATGGCAGCCTCTCCCCTTTCACTCTTAGCGTTACATTCATTTTGCAGTGCTCACTTCCCAAACAAAGTATTATCACCACCACTGTGGGATGGTACATTCCAGAAACCTGTCTACAAAGACTTCTACACATGCTATGTTTTAAAGTAAAAATAACCCAGCTTGCCTTCCCAACTACTTCATATATTAAGATTTGAATATATTAAACTATTCTTCTTAAGCACACATGTCAGCATCAAAATATAGTGATGTGCACAACATAAATATATCATCAGAACAAGCAATGTAAGAAAAAAAATGACCTCAACAGGGTGAGGGTTGTTTAATGTGTATCAGGAAAGTTTGCACCTGACAACTGTACTTTATACAATAGAACTCACATGAGTATCTCAGCATTTTCTTTCCACCTACAACATACCTATCAGGAGAACAAAGTCCCTTCCATGAGCATTTGTGCTGAAGAATACACATGATGGGGCCCGGCGCAATGGCACAGTGGTTAAGGTCCTCACCTTGCACGCCCCAGGATCCCATATGGGTGCTGGTACTAATCTCGGCAGCCCTGCTTCCCATCCAGCTCCCTGCCTGTGGCCCGGGAAAGCAGTCGAGGACGGCCCAAAGCTTTGGGACCCTGCACCTGTGTGGGAGATCCGGAAGAAGTTCCTGGCTCCTGGCTTCAGATTGGCTCATCTCCAGCCGTGCGGCCACTTGGGGGGGGGGGCAATCATCAGACAGAAGATCTTCCTCTCTGTCTCTCCTCCTCTCTGTATATCTGACTTTCCAATAAAAAAAATAAAATAAATCTTTAAAAAACAAAAAACAAACAAAAAAAGGAATACACATGATGCAGGAGGCTCTAAGCATGTCATCTCTGTTATAGTTTTGGTGAATAATATCACAGATTTGGTCTTAACACGTGTGCTATACATACTTTGTCTTTCTAACAGCTTAATAATCCTGAGTCAGTCTCAAGAGAAGAAGGCATTATGCCTTCCACTCTGAAAGAAATCATTTTATGAAGATAAACATAAGGAAATAATTTTATAAAAACACAAGGAAATAATATTTCGGTCCCAAATATTTTTGATAAAGCCTGCTTTTCAAAAGTTTGTGTTTTCTGGGTTTTGAGTAATACCGTTTGCCCCATGAATGTGATTCTGATACAGAAACTCTATAATATAAACAAGTTGGTTAGAATGTTTGTTAGTGCTAGAATTGTTAGAAACATATGATGAAAATAGTCATAAAAAGTAAACGTACCCTACTACTCAATTCCCAGCTCTATGGTAAATTTTCATTTTTAATGGGTTCATAAATTCTTCAGTTTTTGTTCAGCCCATAAATGAACTTTGTATGGGAAATCACGCCAGGAAAGAGCAAATCATGTTGGACTTGGAATAAAAATGCTTGGATTGAACTTTTGGAGAAACACATTTCAAAGGATGCATTTTAATTGACACTGACATTGGTCATGACTATTTCAGATTCCTTGCCTGGTACAGTTGTGTCTCGGGTATCAGTTCATGATGTGGATTTGAATCCAGCCTTCATCTTCAATTTCATCAAAGAGAGTGATCCTGGAAACAAGTTCACTATTGATCAGAATACTGGAGAAGTGCTGTTGGTGAAACAATTGGATTTTGAAGAAGCTAATGAACATAAGCTGCTCATTCAAATTTCTGATTGGGTGCACATCGCAGAGTGCGTGCTCACGGTCCAGGTGCTGGATGTCAACGACAACCCACCAGTGTTTTCTCAGGATTTCTATCAGGTAAAGAGTCTACAGCAGTGCTGAAAGCACAACCCAAGCTGGACAGAGCAGAGAATAAACTTTCCATTGTTGGCCACCTAACTTTGGCTAACAGTACCCTCTGCTCCCAGTACCCAAGATAAAATTGGGAGTTTTATAATTAATAATGTGCAGACTATCAAAGCAAACAGAAGCCAGTGACTCATTCTGTTTGTTAAGCATTTACACCCTTTTTCTTTAAGCTTTTAGGAATTGGAAAACTGTTCATAATTGGAGTTTGCCTAGTATTTGCAAAGCCACAGATAAGATAATATGAAGTTTAAATTATCTGCAATTCCTTTGGGAAAATTCTTTCTGAAGCATAGTTGTAAATGTAAGCATTTTACAGAGACTAACTGGAAAAGTGGAAATTTTGATTTTGAGAACGTAGCATACGTAAGTTTATAGAAGTATGGGGAATGACAGAATACTACTGAACTTGGAAATGGACTCCAGGGCTCATGAACACAACAAATTCAAGATTTAAGTGTAAACACATGGAGAAACTAATGTAAGCTGGGAGGATTTCTGGGAGGCCTTGCTTAAATTATGCAGCATGTAGAATAATGAAGCAACGTATTAGTGAATATGGTAACTACCCTCTGTTGCTCAAAGAAGACCGTTTTTGTAATGAAAATCAACACAAATTTTGAAAGAAACTTGTTTTTATTTCTGAATCCAAAGACTCTGAATATGTTCTTTGTCTTATGTCTGCTCTATAAATTAATATGTCTGAGAAGGTGAGGTTATAACGTAGAGAAACTGTTCCTAAAAATACTCTTTGCCTTTCATCAGCACAACAGCTTCTTTTTCCCTTTTTGTCCTAGGTCACAATTCCTGAATCGGTACCCGTGGGATACTCAGTGCTGACCGTGTCTGCCACAGACATAGAGAGCAAGGAGAACATTTCTTACAGGATGATTTCTTCATCTAAGCACTTCTCAATTGATCCAAAGAATGGTGAGTCATGTGTCATGGTTTTAGTGCTCATGCTACAGCACGGAAACCTGAAATAGTCTTTTCCAAATGCTTGTAAAAATAATCCCACACCTCTATTCCCTGGAATTACAGGCACCACCTTATCATTGATTTTTTTTGGTCCTGTAATGAAATAGCTCCAGCTAGTGTTGGTGCTGTTCTGCAACACTTCTGGGACTGGATAATAAAAGGCACTGGACAGGTGCTGACAGCTGCTCAGCAATCAGAGCCCAGGAAGGCCAACGTCCAGCTCATGTGCCTGGTCAAGCACAGTTCAGGTACTGATCATAAGCCTCCAGAACATGAAAATTATGTCAAAAGGATTCAATCAGAAAGATTTACATTGTTGGTGTTTGAAAGCTTCTCTTGTAAGCCAAGTTTAAAAAATGACATGTAGTAATACAAAGATCTTGTGTTCAATATAGCAAGTGTCATCCAAAATGGAAAATTACTTAAACTTCTCTATTAACACAGACTATTGTATTCTTCTGTATCTGATGCCTTCTAAGACTCTTTATATTGTTATCCAAGAGATAGGTATCTGTGGTTTTCAAATGCATTTAGGCAAACGGTTCCAGATTAGGTCACTGCAAACTGAAGGAACATTGAAAGATAAATTTGATAGAGGTGGATAATTATCAAACATCCTACCGAGATACCCTATACAAAAAATAGGCAAATCACGCAATGTTTCCCCATTGCTACACACCCTTGCCTCATCTTCTGAGAGCTGATTTAAAATCAACCTCGGAAGACCCCATAAAGCACCATAGAGAGGTAAGTGGATGCTGCCACGTGGCCTACGGCTATGTGGATAAACACATTGGGAAGTTGACTTTTCCTTCCTGCATCTCCCATCTCAGATAATGGTACATGTGTCCCTGACCACAGCAAATCGGTATGCTCCAAGGTGATCCCTCTGAAAAGTCAAACCTTAGCCACACTGTTGTTTGATACAGGTTATCAAAATTTTGCAACAAGATACTGATTAGGATGTTTTCAAAATATTAAGGGTAGTCGGTCAATTTAGTTCATGCCACAAATTCTTGAAATGTGATTTTTAAATATCTGTTTTCCATTCCTAAATCACATTTATCTAAGAAAAAGGATGCCATTTGTAGAAATAGTATATTTCTATATTATAACAAGTATATTAAATATCTCATTAGTAAGCAAAACATTCTTGTCGATTACCATGAGTTCTCTATAATTAAGCAGTTCTGCCTTATCATGTTTAATCCTTCCATTAGGCTAGAATGAGTGCCTACCAGTATTTCTCGAATATTAATGCATGTACTGAAGAGTGGGGTAGAGGTTTTTCAAATAAGACATTTTCTTTAAAAAGCGTACTATTGGAGCAAGTTAGAAAAATCATAGAAATGTATGTCCAAGACACCTCAAACAATGCAAATATTTCACAGAATGAATGCCTTAAATATTTGGACCCTAAGTGTTATGAAATTTGACAAAATATTGAACACAGGTGGCTAGCCAGTATTTGCTGACAAAAAGGAATCATGCAAATTCAATTTTTCAACCCTGAAATGTGTATCTTTTCTTATAGGCACAATATTTATTACCAGTCCAGTATTACTTCTGGATGAAATATCCACAGTTCAATTCCTTGTTGAAGCCAGTGATGAAGGAATTCCTAAGCTGAGGGCTCTTGCCTTAGTGGAGGTAAAAATTCGAGATGTCAATGACCACGCCCCAGAGTTCACAGTAGAATGCTATAATCAGAGCTTGAGTGAAGATACCGCAATCGGAAGCACGGTGCTCACATTCTCCACCCTTGACCAAGACTGGACCCGTGAAAACACCTATGTTGAGTATTCCATCCTTGGTGGTGATTCACAGAATCATTTCTATGTGGGAACCAGCTTCACTGATTCAGAACATCCTTCTCAACAAGCTGGTTATCTCATGCTGCTTCACAGTCTGGACCGAGAAGTGGCTGCCAGCCACCAGCTTGTCATTCTAGCATCTGACCATGGCTGCCCTCCACTGAGCTCCACGGCTGTTGTGTCCATAGAAGTCCTGGATGTCAACGATAACCCTCCTGAGTTCAGCAGCGTACAGTATCATGCCCAGGTCAAGGAGAGTACCCCTCCAGGGAGTTCCGTCACTGTGGTCTCAGCAAGTGACCAGGACACAGGGTTACGAGCACAGATCATCTACCATATCATCTCTGGGGATGAGAAGGGGCAGTTTCACTTAGAAAAAAACACTGGCATTCTCTATTTGATGAAGCCTCTGGATTACGAGGACAGGATCCAGTTTACACTAACTGTCCAAGCTGCAAATGAAGAAACGGAACACTTTTCCTTTGCAAGTGTCTTTGTCAATGTCCTAGATGATAATGACCATGCACCTCAGTTTCTATTCTCAAGCTTGAACTGTGCAGTTCCTGAAAACCTGCCTGTTTTCTCCACCCTGTGTTCAGTGAATGCCTTGGATTTGGATGCCGGTCCCTATGGAGAGCTGACCTATTCCCTGCCCTCACCTTGCCATGTCCCTCCTGGAGTGCCTCCTGGGTATGATCTCTTCCGCATTGACCCTCTCACAGGAGAGATCTATGCTAAGCAGGCCTTAGACTATGAAAACAGCAGTAAATACTGCCTCATGGTGGAGGCCAAAGACAAAGGTGATGCGACGGCTTCCATGATGGTGTGGGTGGATATTGAGGGGATAGATGAATTTGAACCTGTTTTCACACAAGATCAATATTTTTTCCACCTGCCAGAAAGCAATGAAGTCAGCCCGCTGATTGGCAGAGTGGAAGCCTCGGATGCAGATGCCGGGCTCGATGGGGTTGTCCTTTACTCCCTTGGCACTTTTTCTCCTTTCATTTCAGTAAACGCAACCACAGGACACATTTATTTGGTGAGATCTGTTCCCCTTGTCCAAAGTCAAGTGAGCAAAGATACCATGCTCGAAGTGAGCATACTTGCTCACAGCCCCAAGGTGGACTCCAGGACTGCCATGTGCACTGTTTTTGTGAACATGTCCCTTCTCCAGGAAGGACGGCACTCTGTAGCCACCCACAGCAGCTTCTTCATCAGCCTTGCTGTCTCTGTTCTAGTGTTTCTGCTCCTTGTCTGCATTCTGTTGATGTTGATTTTAAGACACAAACAGAAACACACAGTTGACGATTACAAGAAAACATTGCCTCCCTTGGATGCAAGTCTGAGACCAAGTGCAGATGCCAGTGTGTTCAAGACCTTCCACAAAGACAATGACTGCAGGGTGGAGGTGGTGCCTGTGGACCACACGCCTGAGTGGTTGGGCTTGCTAAGTGTCATGGAGAAGGACTTGACCACTCTGTACCGGCACTCCAACTCCAGTGGCCACTGTTCCGTGGAAGGAGAAACTGCAGAAGATAAGGAAATTCAAAGGATCAATGAACATCCTTATAGAAAGGACCTGGATTCAGCTCTCAGTGACAGAGAGTCCCGGGTGCCCGACTCGGGAATCCCCAGGGATTCAGACCAGCTTTCGTGCCTGTCTGTGGAAACGGATGTGACACTCACTGCTGAGGCAACAGACGTCAGCTCCATGATGGAGGGAGGAGATCGAGGAGCCAACCGCAACACCACTTGTGCACCCAAAAATGGGTCGCCCCAGGCCCTTCAGAAAGGAAAGACCAAAAAGGACATCCCAGTGGATGTTACAGGTGACTGCCTGTCTGTTCCAGGTGATCGGGCAGCAGCAGGGTCAGCTCTTACGACTCTGAGAACAGCTGACCCTGAGGGACAAAGCAGCTACCCTTGCGATTGCCTCCTGAGTTGGGAACCCAAGTTCCAGTCGCTGTCCTCAGTATTTTATGACATAGCAAAGCTCAAGGATGAGCATTCACAGGGGCCTGGCATGGGCAAGGGGAAGAGCTCTGGTGTTTTCCCACCACCTTTGATAACGGCCATAGCGCAGCCAGGGATTATAGCGGTTCCACCAAGAATGCCAGCTGCTCCCCCAGGGCACGTGCTTCAGAGACACCTCTGTTCTCCTGTTCTCTACCATCTTGCCTCAATGACAGAGACCAGAACTCCCAATTTTTCTCCATCTCTTTCCATGCTGACCCTCCAGAACCCTGCCCTGTCTCCACTGCTGTCAGATGGAGACATTTTAGGAACACATGTGAACGGTACCCACCCTGAACTGAAAGCAGAAGATGAAGTGCAAATATAAAATGGTTGGGATGATGCACTTGTTCACCATTGGTCACTAGTCTCAACCAAGCGCCTCTCAATGGAGTTCATTCTTTTCTGAAAGCCAGAATTGTGATCTAGTCAGGGCTTTTGAAGTCTCCCCTTTACATTTCTAAATGTGTTGCCGTTGTTGTGGTTGTAGCCTTAGTGAGAGATTATTTTCTCCTATAGTTTTTAGGCTTTCTTCTCAGGACTCACGTTTGTATCTATCAAGTAATATATAGTCTGTCCTAGGAGTAGGTTTCCGAAGGACACGATGCACTTAACTAATGACCAAAATACTGATACAGAGACAAAGTCTGGTGTACTCTGATGACATAACTGCTGATTGTGCTGCTAGCTCTAAAACCAGTGAAGGCTGAATAGGGGCAAGTTTGGGACAGAAAGTAACAAAGGGGAAAATTGAGAGGCATGTACTTTGAAGATAAAGCAGGATCTGTGGAGCTGACCTGTTTCGTACAACTTTACATCATCCTCAGATATCCCTGCCATGGAGCATAGCCATAATCTGAACATCAAATGAGAATTGTCCTAACTCTATGCCCAGAGGGTGACACAACTAAGACACATATTCCTGATTAAATGGACTAGAAATACACGTCCTGCTAGAGGGCCAGAGTTAACAGTAGCAATGCTTACGAGGGTGTCCGCCACCCAGGACCTGCTACTTTGGCCTTCTCTACCTAGAGACTGATGATTTTTGCTCCCACGCTCGGCTTTGTCATGTGTACAGGTGCAGACATTAAACTTCGAAGATTAATTTATAGAAGTTTCTCCATCTTATTTTCTACTGGCTACAGTAAGTTTGGAATAATTTATCTACTCACTGTCAGGTTTTAAAGTTTGTGTAGATAATGATTTTGTTATTAGCTAATTGTAGATTTCATAGAGCAACTTAGCACTATATTTTTAAATGAAGGTTTTTTTTTATATAAATGTTTCTACAGCAAAAATTAGTAATGGATGCCGAAGTCATTTTTCTAATTGCTTACATTCAACTCACTTTCATTGTCCTTAGATGGAGCAATTGGTAGCATGGTTACAATAATACTGTTTGGTACCGTCATTTCAGAAGTCGAGTTGAGTGACATTCACATTCAGTGCCGTACTTCTCACTGGTGGGATGGAGGGCATGTCTGAGACGCCTCTCCCTCTTCAGGAAGGCAGAGCATATCCTCGTCAAGACAGTCCAGTACTCATCCACCCGGGTTGGCCCTCACATCTGGCTTCGGGCTGTCTGGGCTATGGAAAGGACATCTGGTCAAGTCTGTAGTAGAGAATAGACTGCTGCTACAGAGATTTGCATTTTGTCCCCCCAGGTCTCATTTACAATGTTACATGAGATCATTTCTCTTTCCTAAAAAACATTGCTGGTGCAGTGTTTGATGTCCAGTTTTGTAGATAAAGAATTATATGGCTTCCTGTGTTATGATCTGTTATGCTATATCTTTGCTGGCTCAAATTCGAACAAGTGTATGATAATATCAGAAATTACATGAAACCTGAAGGATTTTAAACAATATGGAACATTGAAATGTAGGACTAATACTCTCTTCCTATGTTTTCTGACGTTTGTGTAAAAGAACACATCAAATTATCTCAGTATTCCAATATTTATTATCTTTGCCTTTTCAAAATATTGCCTTGCACATATGAAAAAATTCTGTATTTTTTTTCAATATCTATGAAACTTTTATGTTCTTGGAAACCAAGAACATTCTGTTGTTTTTAATTAAAAGGTTCTTCACATTTACTTATGCTTCAAAAGTTTCTTCCTAAGTTATTTGCCTGTGATTTATTACTGGACATGAATCTGTATTTTTTTCCTAGCCTTTTCAGAAAAACAGAATACATGACGTCTCAAGACCTACTTACCAATATTTAGTGGATCTTTAATTGATGTTTTTATTAACACTGTACCTGCTCTATAACACATCCAAACAAGTGGGATTGAGGGTAACAATGTGAACATGCTGGTTGAGTGTTTATAATACATCATTTATCCGCCCTTTTGCTATGTAAATGGTATACTTTATACAGTTCTCCTTTGTGTTCAATGCCGACTTCCAACTTGCCTCGTATATTCCATGTTAATTTTCCTGGCTTTAGCACTCTGGAGGAGGTACAGAACTTGTTAGTGGAAAATCATATTAAGCCCTGAATACATAAGTGATAAATAAAAGACACTTTTCTCTGACAGAATTTTTACTGCCTGGAATTCTGGATTTTCTTGTTGGCAGCCTTCAAAAAAAAAAGAACGGTGTAAATCAGTACCAACTGGATATCAAAATTCCATGTCCTAGTGGTCAACAGATTCCTGGGTAAACAAGGGGAATATGCTGTGTCTTCAGGGATTTGCCCACTGAATTGTTTTTTTAAAAAATGGGAAGATGTACGTATTACTGACATGTATGTATTCAGTCTACAATAAATGTCCAATTCAAACAGTTCTCTTAACCCCACCAAGAAACTCTGCATGCTGTGCTTTCCAGAAGTTTCAGTGATGAAAATAGTTATTTTTGAAGGTAATGCCATGCAAACATATGCCTTGCTACTTTTTTTGATTATACTATGATATTGTAGACAAGCTCATTGGACTTGTTTCTATAGTGTGCTTTTCCTCTCTCAAGTGCAGAACTATGTCACAGCTGAAAAGTCTTCAAATGGAAAAAATTCCTTTGTACAGAAAGATCCCAGGATGAGTGGCTTTGCAACAAAAGCCAGGTATTCCAGTATCTGTTGGTGCCATTATGGAGGTGTAAAGAAGGAAGGTGGCAAAGATGGCAGAGAGAATTAATTCTGAAAAGGAATGGCAGAGAGACCAACATGAGGGAACAGTGATTTAAACAGCTCTCATATGACACTACGAAACCATATTGGATCACTGCTTTGAGTACCAGCTGCTCCACTTTGAGTTTAGCTGCTGGCTTCAATGTGGCACAGCCCCAGCTGTTGCAGTCAATTGCGGAATACACCAGTGAACTGAAGATGATATTTCCCTTTCCCTCAAACTGCCTTTCATACAAATATTTAAAAAAAAAAAACATGTTTTTAAGTGAAGCTACAAATAGGTCTGTAAAGGTGTTAGATTCACTGCTCACCATATGTTAGATTCCCAACCATCAGGGAAAGAATAACTCAGCCAAATACATGAAAAGAATTTAGATGGCCTTTATTTCAGGGAACCGCTGTCAAGGGCTTCCCTTCCCAGTGCAGCAGAAAGGACAGATGTGAAGGAGTGAGCTGCAGAGGAAGAAGAGTGTGGAAGGAGCCCTTTTAAACTCTCCTTGACACGGAAGCCAAAACGGGGGTCACCTTGGCCCTTATTGGTGGGGGGGATATGGATCTGTGTCCTTTAGAGTTGCCCTAGAGGAATCTACTCCATTGTCTCGCAATTTCGAAGTAACATGCTGTGAACCTTAAATCTATGTGATAATAAACTAGAATCTATATGACCATGAAAACTTAAGTTATCACATATTTTCAGTTATTTTTAGATATTTTTGTTTCTTGGCAAATTTTAGGAAGAAAAGGTATGGTTATCTTGCCTTATTTTCCACTTCCTTTGGCATTTCACTAACTTGGGCATTTCATCTTAGTGTCTTTGAGCAAGTAAATGGAAGTCCACCAGGTCTTTGCGACAGAAGATGGTCTTTTGATAGCTGATCTTCCTGGGATCTTTTCCAAAATGAATTACAGTAAAACACTGCATTGTATGTGACTATGTAACCACATTTAACCACGTATAGTGGCTAGTTCATTCTAAACTAGTTTAATTTGGGCAACAAATCACTTTGATTCCATGTAGATCCAAAAAAGAATTTGTCTGTTAGAATTACAGCAATCTTAGAAATATGGCCAGAGTTCAAACTATATCATTTTCTTTTAAATTCATCACTCACCTATTTGCTGACAATTATCACTTCCTACTGTTTGAGTGTACATAACTCATTTCAGCCGATACATTTGCTAAACCAAAACTGTGAAGTGAATAAAGGAGACAAGAAAGGCAAGCCAAATAAACAGCAGAGGCACAGCACATCTCCAGAGTGAAAATGCATCATTTTGGTTAGAAAACTAACTAAATGGATTTTCTTGTTAGATAGTAAACCCTCAGGGCAAAGGCCTGGTCTCCAGTTATATGATGAAGTGCAGATGGTTTTTAGAAGGAATAAGTACATGTGCATATGCAAGAGCTCTAAATGAGGGTGTGACACACAGCTTTCAGCCTATGCGTGGGAAATTTGTTTGTTTAGCCAATCACAGGGACTATCTTAGGGAAAGTTAAAGAAGCAGGAATTCTTCTCATTGGTATTCTCTGTCTAGCTTTCTGACATGTATGTTGTGTGATTTGTAAACATGAGGAGCATGCTTTATGTGGCATGTCAAAGCATTTTATATGATGCAGCAAGTAACATGACCAAGTGCATTCAGTTTAGTTTCAGAATCTGTAATAAGCCAAGAGTGCCTGTAGTTAGCAATATGAAGTTGTAGCAGTGTGAGTAAGCAAACTACTTACAGCTTGGCAGAAACACCTATAGTATTTGTATCAAAATGTATTAAAATTTGAAGGGTAAGCAATAGGAGGACTTTGAGAGGTATTTTGGATGTACACATAATTTGAATTACAAATAACACTTTAAACAACAGCAGATGATGTATTAAATGCATGCTGGGGAGTTGACAGAGGGGATAAATGTGAAGTTATTCTTCTTCACATGCTATAAAAATGTTTAAATTGAATAAATGACTAGAAAGTGAAATGAAAGTATGAACTGAAAGGAAGCCACAGAATAAAAGGTGGCAAAGATTTTTTTAATATGAAAGCTTAAAGTGGAGCATTTGAACTTAAGTGCTGTAATAGAGATTAGATGTGGTAATCAAGAAATACTTAGTAGATTTAAAGAAATATTTTTTCTGTCATTGAAAAAGAAGGATCTGAAGATGCTTTATTTAAAAATGTATGTAAAATGAATACTT